ATTGCGGCGTAAGTCTTGTGAGTTCTCATTTTTGGATTAAAAAAAACTACTTCTAGGATAGGATTGGATTCTTTGGTTTACAATCCTGTGCGAGACCAGTTGCTGATCACTTCTGCCGAAGAAAATATCTATGTTGTTTCATTCAGTGATTTGTCCATCAAAAGGCAAATTGTTGGTTTCCATGATGAAGTGAGTAGGATTGGATCATTATGTTTTATCTTTCCACTTTTTTCACTTCTTTCGCAATCTATATTTAGTCGAGGTGAGGTTTGACTTCGAAAAAATTGAGGTTTGAAGTTGAAAAACTCAAAACGTGCGCGAATTTGATACCTCTTTCCTATACTTTTCTAGGGTAGTTAGTGCAATAGTTCCTGTTTTAGGTATATGCCTGCGCTCTACTTGGTAAGGATGAATCTCACTTAGCTGTTGCTTCCAACGCGAGGGAAATTCGTTTATATGACACCACGACTTGGGATTGTCAACTGATTGAAGGTTGGTCTCCTCTGGTTCTTACTGATGCTAGTCGATCCCATTTCTTCTTTTTCTTAGGACATACTGAGGGTGTTCTACACGTCACAACAGCTAGATTTGATCCTACACTCTTGGCTTCATGCAGCAAGGATAATTCAATAATTGTGTGGAAACTGCAAGGTGAGGGTAAAGTCTGTTTCTCCTTTTTAGGCCGTTTTTGTAAAACTTTGCACTTTCTTGCTGGGTCACAGAAGAATTTTTATATCTGTATCTGCTTCATTTCAAACCACGCTTTGTTGGTTTTCAATGTATTCTGTTCGCGACTCCTTTGATCGTGTCTTGTTTGCATACCCTTAGACATTTTAGGTAAATCGGGAGCGAGCGGTTCGAAATTCCGTTTGCAACCAATAAGTCGAGCAACCGGTCACACTAGTTCTGTGAACTCCGTGTGCTTTTCATCAACGTCGAAGAGGCCGTTTTTGGTCTCCGTAGCGACCGATGCAACCATAAAGCTGTGGTCCTTAGTAGATCTTAATTACGATGTCGATGAGGGCGTCAGTATAGAAGATCTGTAAGTACATACTGTCGCCGATTTCAGTCTCTTAAATGTGATATGTGATGTTAGAGGAAAGCTCGCTTGCTCCTCGACGCTTGTGGCACATGCTAAAGATGTAAACTGTGTGGATGTTGCGCTCACTGATAGCATCTGTATCACTGGAGGGTAATTGCAACACATTAAAATCTTATGAGCGGTAAAAATAAGATACGTTTTATTCAGCATGGACAAACTGGTAAAACTGTGGCATATCGATACTGCTAAAATGCGATTGGGTATCGCTGGAACGTTGTCTGGCCATCGAAGAGGAGTTGCTGATGCAAGATTCTCTCCAAACTCTTTGGTATGTGACTGGTTCCGATACAATGATTTTCCTTTTCAACTTTCTTGTTTCATTTCTTCCTTCGTCTTCTTGTTTCCTACTCGTTTTCACGTTCCCGCTTCTTTGTCAGTCGAGAAAGCTTCTTTCTTCCTATACGGACACAGTCTTTACCTCTATTGTGCTCTTAGGGGCGCATACATTAACATCCCCACTGGGGAGGGGATCGCAGCTTAGAAAGCTTTATATCTGGATTTCACGCGGTCTACTTATGTTTGATATTCCTACCATCCTTCGCTATGGGTATATTGAACAGGAGCAAGAAGCTGTAGAAGCCGTAATTTCCAGCTTTTTGTGTGATCCCCTAATGATCCTCGCGGGATGACCGGCTTTCATTCAAAATCATTTTTCTATGTTCAAAGTCAAGAAAACCTCCCAAAAGTTGTGCTAGTTATCTAAACCAACAGTGCTAGCATGTTACCGATAAAAAACAATGTATTGGAGTCATGAAATTTGCGATGAACCA